GTAAACAATGTGTTTTTGCTCGTAACAAGATAATAAAGTACTTGGGTTCATACAAAGTGTTAGTTACAAGACTAAGGTCATCTAAAACTGTATCTTGCTCTTGTGAGACCACACCTGGATTCGCCAGTTCAGTTCTGGTCACCGTATTACAGAATGGATATAGAATCCTTGGAAAGAATTCAGAGAGAATGACAAGAATAAATCCGGGCATTAGGAACGCGAGTATAGAGACAGGTTAAAGCATCTTAATTTGCACTCCTTGAGGGCAATGAGAGCGAGGGCGACCTGATGAGGTGTATAAGTGGAAGGCAGGGCGGCTAAACAAAGGGGACATTACAAAAGGTACTCAAACTATCAACCAGGAGCGAACTTCCGTAACAATGGTTTAAATTAGACAAATTTAGATTTAGGCGTGAAATAGGTAAACACTGGTTTTGGAAACAGAGTAGTGGATAGATGGAACAAGTTACCAAATATCATCATTAACTCCGAATCGCTGGGGTGCTTCAAACATAGGCTGGATGCTCATATGAGCAATAGGGGTTGGGTGTAAACGGGACTGCCCAGTATGGGCCAATAGGCCCGCTGCAGTTTCCTCCATTCTTATGTTCTTATGTTCTTCGGTGGTCAAGGATGTATGTGTGTGTGTGCTGGCAGCCATGACGGACAGAGGGACAGACGGACGACACACAAGAGCTGCAGTGTGGTAGTGGGCGGCGCACCGGCAGGATAAGTGGCTGACTGCGGCAGGTGGCATCAGGTGTGACCTCCCCCCTCCTCCTCCTCCTATCACTCACCGCCTCCCTGTCCTCACGTTCACTCACAACTGTCGCATTTTCCTCCACACACACACACACACACACACACACACGTACGTCGTTAACAATATACATAATAGCTACTGACACGCCTCTATAATAATTTTACAGCGCCACTATAGATCAACAAGTGTAATGATCTAACGTTTTACCGACGATTATATTTGACAAACTTTTATTTTTTTTACGTAGCACCAGGACTTCCCTCCCTCCCTCCCTCCCCTCCTTTCTCCTCCTGTGTGACGATTGGACCCCTCCTCCGTGTGACCTACCATGACCTACATCTGGGGCTTCACCAGGCTTCATAAAGTGGTCCAGCGAGGCACATAAGGACGCCAGCCTCCTCCCTAAGAGCACCGTGAAGCGTAAAATGGTAGCCTATTCGGTGGACCGGGGCCTGCACCGTCATCCTCCTCCTCCAGGTGCCCACAACGTCAAGTATTTCTTCAAAGACGTCAGTGAGGAACTTAGAAGAAACAGCTGAGTCATGCGCACAGAGATTCAAACCAGCGACATGTATTTAGGCAACACATCTTTGAATAAACAATATGGATGTAGAAGAGAAAGGTCATTATGGAACGGCATATGGCTAAGAGCTTTATAAATCGCACAGATCAATAAAGCAGTACTCGGTCAGGTCTTCGAACGTTCACACACACATTGAACAAAATGAACTGATGGAACACACCTGTCGTCATGACGGCTCTGGCACACAAGCACCAGTACTAACAATGTCTGTATCTAGTAGCCTTCAGGTGGGCAGAGATTAATAAGGAAGGTACAAGCAAACCTGCAACCAGCGCCACCTAAAGATGAGCTGGGAGACGGACCTGGCCGCCACTACTGTCGGCCTGCTGCTACTGTCCTACCCCACCTGTCCTCCCCACTCCGCCCACCTACTGTCCTACCCCACTCACGCCCACCCCACTGTCCTACCCACGCCCACTGCTGTCCCCCTCACGCCCACCTACTGTCCTACCCCACTCACCTACTGTCCACCCCACTCACGCCCACCTACTGTCCTACCCCACTCACCTGTCTCACCCCTCCGCCCACCTGCTGTCCCCCACCTACCGCCCACCTACTGTCCTACCCCTCACGCCCACCTGCTGTACCCCTGTTACTACGCCCTGTTCTACCCCACGCCCACATACTGTCCTACCCCAATGCTGTTCTACCCCATTCCCCCACTCACCCCACTCACGCCCACGTGCTGTTCCCCCCACTCACGCCCACCTACTACCCCTACCCCACTCCGCCCACCTACTGTCCACCCCACTCACGCACACCTACTGTCCCCCCCCCACGCCCACCTACTGTCCTACCCCATTCCCCACCTGTCACCCCACTCACCTACTGTCCTACCCCCCCACGCCCACCTACTGTCCTACCCCACGCCCACCCACTGTCCCACCCCCTACCCTGTCCTACCCCACTACTCCCCACCTCACCCCTCACGCCCACCTACTGTCCTACCCCACTCCCCCCCACGCCCCCCACTACCCCACCCCACTCACGCCCACCTCCTACCCCCCACCCCACGCACACCTGTCTGCCCACCCCCCCCTACACCCCACTCCACGCACTACACCCCACTGTCACCACCCCACCACGCCCACCCACTCCCACACCCCCCACCCACTCACACACCTACTGTCCCTCCCACCACGCACACCTACTGTCCCTCACTCACACCTGTCCTACCCCACCACGCACACCTGCCCACTGTCCTACCCCTCCGCCCACCCACTGTCCCACTGCCCCCTACCCCACGCACCACCCCACTCACACCCTGTCCTACCCCACTCACGCCCACCCACCCTACCCCACCACGCATTCCTACCCCACCCCACCTCTGTCCCTACACCTACTGTCCTACCCCACACACCCCGCCCACCTACCCACGCCCACCTTGTCCACTCACGCCCACCTACTGTGTTCACACCATCAACAACAAGAATAATTACAGAAATAACAATAAAAACAAATAATAGTAGTAATAACACATCAACAATTACTTTTTCATTAATATAAAACTATTAACGCGGCCTCCCCCAATAGCCACACCTTCGCCACCATTTTATTACCACGACACAAAAGTACCTGGCACCCTAGGCCAATCAGACATTAAAATGAATATATAACACAGTACAGTAATGTGTGTGTAGGGGGGAGGGGGGTTGTGTCCGACAATTTTGATACGACAGCGGAGATGAGCATACATTAACCTGTGGGCTGTGGCACACGGGATGGTCCTTTCATTTACCTGCAGCACACGGGATGGCCCTCTACCAGTCAGGTAAAGCGTGAGATGAGCCACAGTTTAGCTGGTACAGATATGACGATCCATCGCGCGCGCGCGCGCACACACACACACACACACACACACACACACACACATCCTTGACCACCGAAGGGTCAAGACGTACCTGGCGCTCCTCTCAGAGCAGCCAGGTCAACTGTTATGTTGGCCCATACCAACTCCCTCCCCTGAACCCTACTCCCCACCGGAATATCAACAAGTTCACGCCAGAAGTTACTATTTCATTTAGGAAAGAAATGGAACCAGTGTTAAACGGAGGTGAACAGTGGCGAACAGTGCTTAAGTCAGTGAGAACAACTCAACAGTAACAGTGGTACCCAAGTTGACCTTTCACACAGTGAGGTCCCAGGTACCCAGTGATAACGGCCCGTGAGACCCAACTACCAGCGATGTGTTAATCCGTCTACGATAAGAAGGCCTGGAACCACACCTCACTCATATAACACCATCTGTGAGGGAATTACTACACCACGTGAGGCCCCTCATAACACCATATGTGAAGGAGTTACTACACCACGTGAGGCCCCTCATAACACCACCTGTGAGGGAATTACTACACCACGTGAGGCCCCTCACAACACCATCTGTGAGGGAATTACTACACCACGTGAGGCCCCTCATAACACCATCTGTGAGGGAATTACTACACCACGTGAGGCCCTCATAACACAATCTGTGGGGAATTACTACACCACGTGAGGCCCCTGCTTACCATCTGTGAGGGAACTACTACATCATCAGGCCCCTCGTAACACCATCTGTGAGGAATTACTACACCACGTCAAGCCCCTCATAACACCACCTGTGAGGAAACTAGTACTCCACGCGATGCCCCTCATAACGCCATCTGTGAGGGAGTTACTACACTACGTGTCTGCTGTTCAACACCTCAGCTCACATGATCTACGTGTGTAAACATTAATCTGTATGTTCCTTCACCTTTCTCCTAGCCTTCGGGCTGCAGAACTTTCAATAAACCGTTAATTATTATTATTATTATTATTATTATTACACACACACACACACACACACACACACACACACACACACACACACACCATCGGAGAAGACGGACTATTTTTGGAGTTTCCTTCGGCAGTTGTCCTTGTGGAGATTGACTTTCCACTTAGGAGGCTGATGAAAAAGGTAACCCTCCAATTAGGAAGTCGGTCAGAAAGGTGAATGAGGGGTTTCTTACCCTATTAGGCAAGGTTGTTTGAAGGGTCTCAGGATAGGGCGACATTATATTAGCTGAGAAAGAATGATGTGATGCCCTATTACTTTATAATAGGGTCGGAAAGACTTGTTCTATCTGTTAGCAAGGGTCATTTAAAACCTGACCTCCCTATTATCAAAAGGTCAGGGAGACTTTGACCTCTCCATCATCAGGGCCAAGAAAGAGTTAACCCACTGGTAGGTGAGAATCAGCTAACTTAAACAGTAGACCAATACTTCCAGACACTGATCTAATGACTCACCTGTGTCGGGTGATTTACTGACCGGCCAACCACGTCACAGAGGCAGAAAGAGTTAAACTAACCATGTCACTGTGAAAAAGACCATGACTGTCACCATCTCACCATGACTGTCACCATCGCATCATGACTGTCACCATCGCATCATGACTGTCACCATCTCACCATGACTGTCACCATCTCACCATGACTGTCACCATCTCACCATGACTGTCACCATCTCACCATGACTGTCACCATCTCACCATGACTGTCACCATCGCACCATGACTGTCACCATCTCACCATGACTGTCACCATCGCACCATGACTGTCACCATCTCACCATCCCGCTATGACAAGGGGGTAATGAGAGAGAGTTGAAAAAAGGTGTTCTTGACTTACCATTTCGCTGTGGCGGTGAGAGCAAGCTCGTGATATGAGGCTGTGAACTGGAATTTAGCAGCTTTCTTGTTGATGCGCTGAAACCTCTTCCACACCGACCCCATCACCGCGCCAGACCTGCAACACAACAGTTAATAAAACCTCCTGTCAGGCACCTGTGGCACTGTGTTACACGGTCATGACACACACACACACAATAATGGGAAGGAAGACGAAGACAGCATAATATTATTTCATGGTATACCTGTGGCAGTGTAAATTAAGTGCAGGTAAATATACTGTACACCCAAGAAAGAAAGAAAGAAAAACAACAACATAAGAATGGAGGAAACTGCAGCGGGCCTATTGGCCCACACTGGGCAGGTCAGTTTACACCCAACCCCTATTGCTCATATATCCATCTGTCATGGGTTGTGTTAAGCTTATCCACAAGACCAACTCCAAAATTTGTTTTACTATAGATAAGGCACCCGGCGAGCCATGACTACGAAATATTTTTCCATTAGTGGTATGTTAGCCACCCTATACGGGGGAGGCCATTGAGGCAGTGTTGTACTGTTCATCGCCTCACGCCCCAAAACCACATTCTGAGTAGTATCCCCTAGGGCCTAGGCCATGGGTTAATTAAGACGTCGTCCCCACCCTCTCCCTCCTGAAGGGAACGGGACACCACACCAGTCCTCCACTGCCACCCCGTCCTGTGGACCATCAGTGACACGAGACAAAGTGTGTTAACGTTGATTTGTATTCCTGTGGAAAAATCACGTGTGGAAGCCTGGTTGCGACAAAAGCAATCCAGGCTGGCCTATTGCACCTAAGTGGTTAATCAAGTCAGGCTTACCAGTTCTCCTTGCCGCGACAACCGTCTACAGTGACTGTCAGTGAGGGGAGACTATGTGTGGAAACCCAAGAGTACCTTTTTGTTGTTATTCCCCGTGGAAAGAAGTTCTTGTGCGGAAGCCTGGTTGCAACAAGAGCAATCCAGGCTGGCAGTAAATGTATCACTTGAAGAATTAAGGCTCTGTTAAGTCATACCCACAGTAGAGTAATCACATGTGCCCCCAAGTTGAAAATTCCCTCTTTACAAAATTAATGTCAGTGCAATTATCTGTCCGTATCTCTGATCCTATCTTATTATTACTAAAGGTAATGACTGATTGGTTATGACAAAAGTATAACCAATAACTCAGATGGATGTTGGAAATTAATGGAACTCATTAAATCATCATTTATCAAGTATAAATCATGGAATGTCGGGTGGTGGAGTGAATGTCTACGTAGATCCACCATAATCTCCTGTAAGTAACCAGTGTGAAGGTAACGAACTCTACGGTAAGAAATATAAGAAACACAATATAATATAAACTTGTATAACATCCACACCTTGACTTTACAATAAAAATCCATGACACCATCCAACCTATGTTTGAAGCTATCCAGCGTATTCGAGTTAATGATGATGTTTGGTAACTTGTTCCAGTCATCCACTACTCTATTTCCAAACCAATGTTTACCTATCTCGCGCCTAAATCTAAATTTGTCTAATTTAAAACCACTGCTACGAGTTCACTCCTGGTTGGATAGTTTGAGTACCTTTGTTATATCACCTTGTTTAACCTTGACTACCATTTATACAGATCAATCAGGTCGCCCCTCGCTCTACGTCTCTGGGGGGAGTGCAAATTAAGATGATTTAACCTGTCTCTATACTCAAGGTTCCTAATGCCCGGGATTAGTCTTGTCATTATACCCTGAATTCTTTCCAAGGATTCTATATCCATTCTGTACTACGGTGAACAGAATTGAACTGCGTAATCCAAGAGAAGTCTCACAAGCGCAAGATATAGTTTTAGGATAACCTCGCTAGTGTTGTAACTAACACTCCTTTGTGTGAACCCAAGTACTTTGTTAACCTTGTTTCGAGCAAATACACATTGTTGAATTGGTTTACGATTCCTACTTATCATTACTCCTAAATCTCTCTCGCAGTCGGATTTCTCTATGGCATCGTTGTTCATCTGGTATCTGGTTTCCCTGTTTACATCTCCTAGACTAAGTACTTTACATTTGTCCACATTAAATTACATCTGCCATTTTTCAGACCATTCGAAATTTTTTTATAGATCTTCCTGTAGTTTTGCAGAGTCCTCGTCAGATTTAATTAAACGCTCTATTTTAGTGCCATCAACAAATTTACCTCTGTTGCTGCCTTCGCCTGTATCTACTGTATGTTTTTTTATGTATATAATAACTAATAATGGTCCAAGTACTGAGCCTTGGGGGTACTCCACTAGTGACGTTTCCCCAATCGGATTTAGTACTGTTAATGCTTTTTCCCTGTTTCCTGTCCCGTAACCAAGTCATAATCCATTTTAAAATATCTCCTCCAATGCCATGAACCTCCACTTTTCGTATTAGTCTTTCGTGGGAGACCCTGTCGAAGGCTTTGCTAAAGTCGCGGTATACCACACCACAATCGTGCCCGTCGTCCACTGATTCGAAAACTGAATGTTAATAGATTAATTAGGAATGAATGCCCACTTATGAAGCCAAGTCGGGAATCATTGATCAACTTGTGCTTCTCCAGTTGATTTCGAATATAGTTTGAAATTATTGCTTCCAGCAATTTGCCTACACTTGATGTAAAACTGAATGGACAGCAGTCAGAGGATAGTGATCTCTCTCCCTTCTTGAAAATCGGTATTACATTCGTTATGCTCCAGGATTCTGGTACTACACCCGTTTTTAATGACATGTTAAACAAATTTAATAAGGGCATACTAAGCTCTTCCTTACATTCCTTTAATACTCTGGCAAATATCTCATCGGGACCTGGTGACTTATTAGGCTTTAGTTTGTCTATTTGCTTACTAACATCGTTACTAGTCACTACTATCTTGCTTAATCTATTTTCTTCACTATCTTTGTATAGAGTCGGTACCTCGGGTATCATGTTTAAATTTTCGGTGGTGAAAACTGTTGAAAAATATATGTTCAGATTATTGCTCATTTCTCTGTCATTGTCCGTTAGCTCTCTGGTATCTGACTGTATTGGTCCAATCTTTTCTCGTGTTTTAGTTTGATACATTTGAAAGAATCCCTTGGGGTTTAACTTTGCCTCCCTACCTTCAGTTCATTATTCCTCTTTGCTATTCTTATCTCAGTCTTAACCTTATAATAATCTCAGAGGTAAACTTCACGATATATTCCCCAACCTATAGCCTTCCTTTGGCCAATAATATTCTTTAAATAATTATTTATCCATTTGGGGTCATTGTTATTTGATCCGAGTTTTCTGTATGGTATGTTCTGCCTTTGTGCATTAAGTAACTCACTATTTAAATTGTTGTGGAAGGAGAAGAACAACAACAAGAAACAACCACGAAAGGTAGAAGCAGCAACAAAAACAAAAACCTAACCCCTAAAATTCACCAGCTCGTAACTACTTAACTGCCATATTAACTTTACTAACTACCACCTCTGCAGCGTCACACGGAGGAGCTTCCCGCAAGGACACCAGCAGCAGTCAAGTGTCCATCGTGAGATAAAATATACATATTATATATATTTTTTTTTTTTATTTATTTATTTATTTTTTTTTTTTTATTTCGAGTGTCTGGTTAGTGGGACATGTGCCATCAGAACATAAGGTAGGACATAATGTGACGTCAGAACACGGTGGGACATGGTGTGGTAACGTGAGAACACAGGCTGGGACATGGTGTGGTAACGTGAGAACATAAGGTAGGACATAATGTGACGTCAGAACACGGTGGGACATGGTGTGGTAACGTCAGAACACGGGGTGGGAACATAGTGTGGTGGCGTCAGACCATAATAACATCAGGGACTGGCAGGCAACGATGAGAAGACGGCACTTAAAAACATCCCTCAAACGCGAACAACATCCATCAGTTATCTAAGGAAGAAGGAATCCGGGGTTTTGGTTTTAATAGAACGGCGGCAGAAACTCTTGAGTGCGGTGGAGAGTAGTGCCGCAGGAGGGAGGGGAAGCCTGAAAGTGGGTTGTAGGAGGCGCCTGAGGCAAAGGAGAGGCGGAGGAGCCAAGCGAGAGAGGAGAGGCGCCCTTGATGCTCTCCAGGGTTTTCAGCACTTCAGAGGTCACAGGAAGGCCTCTCGTGCACTACAGGGTGGGATCTCGTGCACTACAGGACGGGATCTCGTGCACTACAGGGTGGCCTCTCATGCACTACAGAGCGGGCTCTCGTGCACTACAGGGTGGCCTCTCGTGCACTACAGGGTGGGATCTCGTGCACTACAGGGTGGCCTCTCATGCACTACAGGGCGGCATCTGGTGCACTACAGGGTGGCCTCTCGTGCACTACAGAGCGGGCTCTCGTGCACTACAGGGTGGCCTCTCGTGCACTACAGTGCGGCCTCTCGTGCACTACAGGGTGGCCTCTCGTGCACTACCGGATGGTCTCTCGTGCACTACAGGGTGGCCCCTCGTGCACTACAGGGTGGCCCCTCGCGCACTACAGGGTGGCCTCTCATGCACTACAGGAGGCTCTCTCTGCACTACAGGGCGGCATCTGGTGCACTATAGGGTGAAGCTCTCAGCACTACAGAGCGGGCTCGTGCACTACAGGTGGGCCCTCTCGTGCACCACCACGGAGCGGGCTCTCAGCACTACAGGACGGCTCCCTCCTCGTGCACCACAGTGTGACCTCTCGTGCACCACAGTGCGGCCTCTCGTGCACTACAGGGTGGCCTCTCAGCACTACAGTGCAGCCTCTCCGTGCACTACAGGGTGGCCCTCGTGCACACAATACAGGGCGGCCTCGTTCACTATAGGATCGCTTCGTGCACCACAGATGGTCTCTCGTGCACTACAGAGAGGCCCTGGTGCACACAGGGTGGCCATGCACTGGGCAGGGTGGGCCTCTCATGCACTATAGGGTGGCCTCGTGCACTACAGGTGCTCCCTCGCACTGCAAGGCGGTCTTCAGGACTACAGGATGGCCTCTGTGCACTACAGGGTGGTCCCTCGTACACTGCAAGGCGGTCTCTGGTGGACTACAGGATGGCCTCTCGTGCACTACAGGGTGGCCTCTCGTGCAGTACAGGGTGGCCTCTCGTGTACAACAGGGCGGCCT